TCTATGTTAATTAGTAAAAATAAAAACATTATATCATGAAAAACATTATAAATTTATTAGATTATTGAATAATAGTGGATGAGATATTGATGACATTATAAATAGATAAATATTAATATCGTTTAACTTTAAACAATTCTATAATATTACTCCTAACTTTTAAGGTGGGTTTAATTATTTTTTCTTTTTAAATTTTTGGCTAATTAAAAAATAATAAAAAATTTATAAGGTCAAATATTTAAGGGTATTTTCGTCTTTTCAGTAAATATATTAACAGAAATCATAACAAAATCTAACAAAGGGTGGGAAAGTGTCATTTTGAAACTTGATGCGTGGGAAAGTGAAGTTTTGCCAAACCTTGGGTGGGAAAATGTCGTTGTCCCTTAATCAAATGATTAATTATTAATTAGAGAGGTTTTAGATGGTCTTGAAATATAATAGCTGCCCAGAAGTTAGGATCCTATGAATATTTGGGCTTCTCTACCCTACTATAACTTTATTCTTCTTCAGAATTTGTCAGTCATTATTTATCTATTTCTATTTCTATTTTTATTTTTATTTTATATAATAAGTTTAAGAACAATCTATTTTTCTTTCCTCTTTGAGATCCATATGCTATGATTTTAAGGATTAGATTAAATTAGATTAGATTATGCATGTGTTTATAAAGTAATTAGGAACTCAAATTTTATAGGAATAAGCCACAGACCTAATTATCCGACTAAACTCTCATGGGTATTCGATTGGAAATGTTAAAATCTCTTCTTTTCGCTTTCTTGCTCTTCAACAACAAGCGTATAAATCACGAATGGATGACCAAGTAGTTGGACAATAACTCTTGAATATATTATTTAAGAGGTTATGAGTTTGAGTTACCTCGATTTCTAATACGAATGACTATTAGAGAGTATATAGGGTCGTTAACTTCAGGACCTCGGTGGACTTGTTAAGGTGTGCATAGACTGGTTCGTACACCCCTTCGATCACCAAGAAAAAGAAAAAAACAAAGGCATTTAAAAAAAGAGCACTAATCTCTCCAACTATTCAAGTGATAGGATAAACGTTAAAATGTGTGGTTACAATTTTACAGGTTCGAATTCTTCTGGCTTTCAAGATTTAAGTGGAGAGCCGTGACGTGACGGAGTAATATTTGGTAAATGTACATACCTTATAAAGAGATTATAGAATAGAACAAAGAGTGGGGTGAAATGAAAGGAGAACGTGGAGCTCTCTTGACATTTTATGAACCCAATTCACTTTTAATATAATAATAAATAATAAATATTTGCATTTTGTCCGCCAAGATCTCTACTCTTCTCCCAATGCTATCTACATTTTATTATCATATTTCAAACTATATAATATTTATTTTATATTACAAGTTGAAAAATGTAACGTCCTATATACCCTTACACTGGATGCATTAATTGGGGTTTGGCAGGCATTGACTTTATAGGGGTTGTTGCATTTAAATGATTTCGTTGAAACAGGGAGAATAAATTGTTCACCAATCAACCCATTTTCATCTTCTTTTGAGGTATCTTCTTAGATTAATTAATACTAGTATGCAAGTGAAATGACGATAATACCCTTGTTTTTTTTTTTCAATATAAAGTAGTTGATATTATATATATAATTGAGATTTTCCCTTTGCAAGTTGGTATTTCTTATTTTTTATATTCTATTATACAAAGTAAAAAGAATAAAAATAAAATAAAATAAAATTTGACTGTAATGTTTATTAATGTACATGTATCACTAGATCTTTATAAAGCGATCAATTCAAGAGAATTTTAATTTTATTATAAAACAAACTTAAATTTTTTTTTTTCGTTTGTATACATATGTCAAACAAGGATGAAAAAACGAAAAAGAGAAAGAGAGTGCTGCTAGTATTTTCGTTATTCAAATAATTTTTTTTGGGATCTCTGCTTAAGTGACCATGGTATGCATCATATATTACATCCCTTAAAATGTTACAATAAAGTTAAACAATGATACTAACCTCACTAATCTCTCTTACTAACCCTATGTGGGAATTTGTGATTGGTTTAGTTAGATGAGACCTATTATTAGACAAGTGGAACCCATGTGAAATGACAAATTGTGAGCTAACATGCAGCGTTAGTGAAAGAAAGTTAGTGAGAAGTGTTAGTGAATGTAGTGTTACTCAAAGTTAAATAAAAAAAAAAAAAAAGGGTGAATAACAATTTCCCATCCAAGGTTTGTTCGTAATTACATTTTTCCATCCATAAACTTTGAGAAAAACAATTTCCCACTCATCATCAATCTCCGTTAATGGAATCTGTTATCTGATAAGGGTAAAGTTATGAAAGACTATAATACTCTTTACTATTTGACTTTATAATTTTTAACAAGACTGAATGAAAAAAAAAAGTATCCCTAGTATTTCCGTTGTTCAAACATAAAATTGTGGGATCTCTACTTATGTGACCATCATAAGTGCCATGTATTACATCAATAATGCTACGGACACCGGGATTTTTACACCGAAATATTGTACCGGCCTACGTGTAAGACGTCTCTAATTTTTTTAACAATTTTTTTCTAGTGAACGGCCGTCCATCAAATTTGGACGGCCGTTCACTCACATGGACGCTCGTCCATATTATATGGACGGGCGTCCATATACAAGGGACGGGCGTCCCCATTTAAAGGACGCCCGTTCATAAATAAAATACAATAAAAAGTTTTTATAAACTTTGGGGACGGCTGTCCATAAATTTTGGACGGCCGTCCCTTATATTTGGATGGCTGTCCATTAGGAATGGACGCCCATCCATACTTAAAGAAAAAAAAAAAAAAACGTTTGGACGGGCATCCATTAGGAATGGACGCCCGTCCATACTTTAAAAAAAAAAAAAAAAACATTTGGACACTTAAAAAAAAAAAAAATCGTCTTCTTCGTCTTCATTCCCTAGCTCCTGGGTTCTCATGTTAGTTCTTCGTCTGAGCATTTTGTTGTACAAGAAATTATAAGAATTGAAGGTGCTCATCTTTCGGGTACTAGCCAAAATCCTGATGATGCCAAGTGCAGGAACCTAGGCTTGCAAGTTGTATCTGGTTTAAGCTCAGAGCTCACCAGTGTGAAGAAATCTGCTGCCATGGATTTTGACGTGCTCAGCAGTGATGTGTCCAAGCTTTCTAGAGCAAAATTGGATATATCCCTCTCACGGATATTCTTTTTAATTGTTTTTTGTGAATGTGTAGACTTCTCAGTGTGATGTTTGCTTTAGTTGAGTTATTGGCATTGGTTTTATGGTTTAGTTTGTAGCGTGTAAAGAGGGATCATGGTTATCTGGAAAAGTAAATTAATAGTGGCTGGAGAGGCGATCAGTTTTGGCTTGGCTTGAAGAAGAAGAAGGTAAACATTTCCGAAAGGAAGAAGAAGAAGCAGTATCCATGTTTAGAATATATATTTTTTTTTATTAAGTATGGACGGGCGTCCATTCGTAATGGACGCCCGTCCATACTTAATAAAAAAAAAACTTTTTATTGTATTTTATTTATGGGGGACGCCCGTCCCTTGTATATGGACGTCCGTCCATATAATATGGATCGGTGTCCATATGAGTGAACGGCCGTCCAAATTTGATAGACGACCGTTCATTAGAAAAAAATTGTTAAAAAATTTAGAGATGTCTTACACGTAGGCCGGTATAATATTTCGGTGCAAATATTTCGGTATCCGTAGTGTTATTGGTATTACATACCCTACAATGTTAAATCGGAACATTTATTATCATAATTTTTTTCCATAAAAGGATAAAGTTTGAGTTCCACCTATCTCTGGGTAGCCCAACTAGTTAGGGCAAATGGAGGATAATGTAGATAGGCCTACAGTCTCAGGATTGATTCTTAATTTGAGCATCCCGATGTAAGCGAGGGTCTTGACGGTAGGTTCTTACGCTAATCTCTTTTAGGATTAATTGAGTTGATTAGTCAAGGTGTCCACACATTGACTGTAACCCTGGTTAAAAACAAAAATAAGGTTTGAGTTCCTAATAAAACTTAATAAAATAAAATGTGACAAATGATTAAGTCATGAAAATAGAGTAAACGATAATGACAATTTTCCACCCACAAAGTTTCAAAACACCCATTTTCCACCCAAAGTTTATATTCTGTTATTACCAAAGCTAATCTGGTCTATTTCAATAGCAAAAATTCTCTCTGTCATCACCATTTGAACCTCCGGTCTCCTCTCTATAAAAATCTTCTCACTTCTATAATTGATTTCTTACTGATTACCGGTCATTGCAAAGTTATAATTTCCTATTCTTAGCTGATTTTCTGGTTGGTTTCAACAATAAGTATTTAATCGGTCACTATCATTCGATCCACCAGTCTCTATTCTACAAAATCCCTCTCACCTTGGCCCCTGGTAACTCGTCGAATGCCAATTGAGAAAGTAAAATATATTTTGGATAGTAACGGAATATAATTTTGGGTGGAAAAGTGGTATTTCAAAATTTTTGGGGAGGGAAAATGGTAGTAAGGCAAACTTTGGGTGGGAACAAGTTGTTTACTCCACGAAAATATTCTCCAAAAGATGTGTGGCCTAAAATTATTGTACGGACAATACATTTTGTCATATAAATAAATCAAACCAAAACCCCAAAATTAAGCACAAGCTCACACTCAAAGCTTGCACCGTCCATCCATGTTTCTTGTCCCTCTCCCTCCTTCTCCCTGAAAACCTCTCACCATTTTCATCCAAAAATGGAGCTCCAATCTTTAAACTTCACCTCCAACAATACCCAAAACCCTATAAATGACCTTCCAAAACATGCCCACTCGGGGAAACAGCAAGAGCAAGAGCAAGAGCATCACTTCTTTGAAGATATGGACAGCACTTGCTCCACTCCTTATGTTAGTGCACCTTCAAGTCCGGGTCGAGGATCCGAGCCCGTTAATGGTGGGTTCTATTACAGTGCTCCTGCTAGTCCCATGCACTTTGCTTTAACAGCTTCATATTCCTATCCAGTTTTGTCATCATCATCATCACCGGATGATAATGGGACTGGGAGGAGTAGTAGTTCTGTGGCTCTTGGTTTTGAGTTCGGANATAAAACATTCACAGGCAAAGCAGTTGAACCAGCAACCGCAAAATTCACTCCATGGCCATGGCTGTGTGTTGCGTTCAGATTCAAGTAGGCATCAAGCAAGGGGACACCAGCCGATAGAGCTACAAATTTACAAATTATAACGCAGTTTAATTATTAATTAGTTATACAAATATGGAGGGAAGATCAGGACAAAACAGAAGTTAAAGTCTTACTTACCAATATAATCAATCATTAGTAACCCGTTTGAGCATCTCCCGGTTGCCTTGTTGAAGATGGTTTCTCCATAGGGTAGCCGAGCAAACGGAGACTGAGGGCTCTCCCGAATCAGATTGCCCGTGTCAGAAATCGAGTCCCCGAGTTGATATATGGCGTTGAACTTACAAAATTTGAGAATGAGAGAGTGGCATGGGGAGGGAGGAGCAAGAAGAAAGAGAGAAAACAAAGCAAGAAGAAGAGAGCAGGCCACAAAGTTGAAATTCTTAGCCATATTGATGAATAAGCAGCTTTAGCTATGGATTGATGAACAAATTGATAGTAAATTTGTGAAATCAAAGTCTCGTGCAATGTTATTATATAGTGGAAAGGTTAAGATTTCGATTTGTATGTGTTGTGGTGTTTGTTTTCTGTTTCTTTTGGTAATCTCTTCACAATCAGTTTTGTACTTCCAACTATGAGTTTAGGACGGAATAATAAACTAAATAAGCTACAAAAACCAGTCAAACAAGAAGTTGTATTATAATTTATCCCTCTCTCTTATTATTAAAAAAAAAAAAAAAAAAAAAAATTTGTCTTATAGTGATTATTGTCCTGGTCTTATAGGAATTCACCCGTTGTCGCAGTTTTTTACTCATATAGGTTCTGAAATTTAACATAATCTTTTCTGATTGTTGTTACTTTTAATAAGTTTTTACATTCTCTCTGATTTAGTTTGTGTAGTATCAACAAATTTAGGCTTTGCTTACTGTGATAGAACAATACAACAGTTCTCCATGCGCAGGTTTTAGTATTTTCAGTACAATGCACGTGTAATGTTTTAATATTTCTTCTAATTAACTGATCAATTTACTTTTGAGTTGAAAATTGAAATAGATCATACTTGAATCAATGTTTTGTCTAACTCATATCCCCAATCATCCTCTGCACTCCACACCATTTATCTCAAAGCAGAGACAATATTTTGGCATAGTTGATGTTCAATCTATATACATTGTAAATGGTAATCCAGAATTCATGGATAAAAGATATTACCCCATCATTAATCCACAGAAGCTAAATTCAATAACCCAACAGTTACCCCATCATTAATCCACAGAAGCTAAATTCAATAACCCAACAGCTATGAAGCATTCACCAGTCCCACACCTTCACAACTCTAAAACACATATAAAAAAATAGATTTAAAAAAAAAAAAAAAAAAAAAAGGAATTTAGGCAGAAGGTGCTTGATAAAGATGCCACAATATGTAATTTTATTTAACTGAAATAAGCATATTACTGATTATGCAATGTAACATTGAGAAAATACATTATTTTCTATGATCTTTCTCACACACTTGATGTTGATCAATTTGAGTAATAAATATCAGTACTGCTTTTGATATGTTCAACAACCAATACAACCACCGAAAAAAAAAATGTATTGAAGTAGCAATGTAATCCTCTCCAACAAAAAAACTCCTGCAACTATCCATTCAATGTATGCTTAGCAATAATTTGTTTAAGTATATGCTGAACGAATGGCTACTTAGTCCTTGAATGAGTAGGCGCCAAACAAAAGGTTATTTATTTAGTCCTTGTGTGAGTAGGCATCAGCTGGGAGGAACTTCGCATATCGCTCAGCCTTCTGTCCAGATTTGTGGTCATAGTATTCAACCACCGCAGCACCGGCTAATGCAGCCAGAGTAAGAGCCTGAGCATGCAACCTGCGTTTAAATTGGTAAATGGCAGATAATTAGCTCGTTGAAAAGAGTACAGCAAAGCCTGAAATCCAAAACATAAATAGAAATGTGTAACATTCGTGACAAACAGCTGATAAAAAGGTTCAGGATAATAATTGCGTCTTTGTTATGAATTCCAAGGGCTAACTTCAAAGCAAGTACTAGAAACAAGATGCTTGCAATAAGAATTCAACTGTGTGTATCATGGTTCCAGGCCTCAACAACAATACGGAGAAACTAAACTTCAACCTACTAGGTAAAGGCCTTGTCCACTTAGAACTCCAACCTCCATGAACCTTTTTGTTGGGGCTAAAGAACCCCTAACTTAATAAAAGGAAATAAAAACATGTGAGGTCTTAACAAGCTTCACAACTGTCAGCCATAAGACTAGATAAAATTAAGTTCTCATTCTCATGTCTTCAAATCACCTTGTCTACCTCTTTCAAATGCACACACTCAAAAACCGAAAGACACATCCCTTTTAGGGGCCCAACAAGCCACAACCATTTTGCTTCCTGATGGAACCAACAACTTGTAAAATCCACAACCAACCAGATCACCCAACTTTTGAAAATACCTCCATTACATCAACATAAACTCACCACCGCCAATCTTTCTTTGTCGCGAAAAAGAGTCATGCATAAAAATTAGAACATCACCAGTAACTCAAAAAATACCTTGTCTATGATGACATGTCGGGGTAACAATTCAAGAATGGACAAATTTTCCAGACAGGGTGTTTATACATGTTAAGTGAGGCCTCAAAACAAAATCTATTAGAAACTTACCAAATCAGAGAACAAGTTAAAACAGACGAAACATCAAATTGCAATGCATATGATAACTAGTTTCATACACTAAAAACACCCTGTAGAAATGGGATTTCGCCTTTTCGACCTAATCACAATTTGAATCATTCCAACACATAAATCCAGCTTCCGCCATGAAACAAATAAAAACAATTTCAAGCCTAAAACTTCTCATGTAAATCCATTTCACCAAAGAGAAATAAAACCATTTGATCAATAAACCCCTTAATTGATTGAATCTCAAACATTCACAAGTATATTCAAAAGTTAAAATTTGTTTTTCCTAATATTTGATTACTCTCTCCACATCTCATATAAAACCTGCCCACCTAAATCAACAACACAAACAAATAAAAATTTCACCCAAACAACAACAGAAAGAAAATTAAAAACAAACACATAGATAATTCATGATAACGGATCAAACTTCACCTAGCATGAATGATCTTGACGCTGGTTTTCATATTGGGCTGAGTCCAATTGTAAGCGATAGAGCCCGTGATCCCACTAAGCCATAAACACCCTTGTCAACAAAACCAACAACAACACAAATCAATAAAACCAACAAAAAAAAAAAAAAATCCCCCAACACAAAAAAAAAAAAAAAAACACAAACCCACATCGGAAAAAAGAATATAAAAAACTCACCAACGGTTCTAAGCTTGTGTTCAACAATCCATTCCCTAAAAGATTCGAACTTTGTCTTAGCATCCGCCATTGTAGAGAAAGAATGAATGCAAGGTGCGTTCTTTTTTGTGATTTTGTCAATGTAAAAAGAGAAAATTGAAAACGCAAGACGAAGCGAAGTTGAGATTGTGGAGCTCCTTATAAAAAACAGTGGGCAGAAACCGGGTGGAATTGCGTGTACAATTTAACAGCGTTTGTTCACCGTCAATGTTTCAACTGTTCACATCATGCCACGTGGATTTTTGAGTCTAGCTGTTATTACACGTGTTTAATTTTAGGTTTTATGTTTAAATTTAAATGGTAATCTACGAGCCACGTCATCTACATGTTTGAATCATCCATGTCACCACGTTGGCAAAGTGGGGGTAATAAACCCTCTCCTATTAATTTTCAAAATCATTTCTCATAATAACCATTATTATTGAACCATAGAAGCTAATTATTGATCAATTATTATAAATAAAATAATATAGTCACTAAAAAGAGTATACTAAATTCATACATCAAATGATGTGACATAATCATGATCATAAATTAATATTAATTGATGATCAATATTTCATCACATTTGATGTGTTTCTTTCATAACATTACTCTTATTATAATAAAACAATAAAACGAAGGTTATTACTAGATAATGGAGGAAAGTTACTAATAAATTATAGTAAAAGTTTTATTAAATGAGCTTATCATGTGACCGTGGCAAAATTGTAAAACAGTTTATACTAATGTGATTCAACGAAGAGGTAATGGCATAAACCCTTTTACGATGTATAATTTAATAATAAAAATCCTTTAGGAGACGTTTGGTTGGAGGTTATGTGAGATTATTGGAGTTAAGTTATCTTATATTACTTAATTACCGTGTTTAGTTGTCAAATAATATAAGATACCGATAATCTTTAAATATCAATAACGGTTATTATTTATAATATTTGAGATAAATACCTCTATTTTCTTAAGTATTATAAGATTATTAGGGTTATCTTTTTTTTTATAATTTTATCCCTTATTAATAAAATTTTAAAACAATAATGCCATTATTTTTTAATTTATTTACATGAATATGATTTTTACTATTTCACACCAATTAATTAACTTTTTGAACAAAATTACCTTTGAATTCAAAAAAAATTACAGCCCACCCAAGCCACCACCCCCACCCATCTACCACCGCCTGTCATCAGCAACCACCGTCGCTGCAGGAACAATGCACAGAAGATAAAAAATGGCCGTGTGCCAGATTTGGCCGTCAATGGCCATCGACTTGGCCGTTGATGGCCAGATTAGATCTGGCTGTCGATGGCCAGATCTGTCACGTCTAGCCATTTTCGACTAGATATCTGGTCAGAAATAACCATACGACGCACGAAAGATAGGAAATCGGAGATCATTTCCTGCCTTCTGTGCATCGTTAGGTTGCTGGCTTCCGGCGGCCTGTGATGGTTGCTGGCGGCCGATGGTGAGTGGGTTGGTGAAGGTACTTTGTTGATTTTTCAAACTTTTATTATGAGGTTATTTTTGCTAAGTTTTTAAATACAGGGGTTATATAATCCATATAAAAATCAAATTACAAAATAATATAATAATAATAATAATTAATTAGAAGATAATTTAATAATTTAAGTAAGATACTTATTAATTTATCCCTTATAACTGAACATATTAATATAACGTACGCATTAATTAAGAATCATATTTTTCTAAAGAGTAATTTAACATTTTAAGTAATCCTATGCTAATGAGCGAAACGTCTTTTTAAAATAACGACAATCTCTCTATACCGTAAATGAGCTGTCAGAGAATCGTTAGAAAATTTTATTTAACATTAATATATTGTAGTTGACAAATTTGACATTGGGTTGACTTAGTCAACACAAAAAGACAAAAGTAAGGCAAATGTTCCACGTGCCCAAAAGTCAATGGGCCACATGTGGCCCATTGAGCTCGAATCAATCATTTGATTCATTGCAAATTCAAGTCTTGATCCGACAACTCGTTCATATTTATGACAGCTAAACGACTTGGCATCCTATTTGGCAAACTTGCTCATCTTCAACCGTCGGATCAAAATCTAACTCTCAAACGACAACCGTCCACGTGACACCAGAGGATCCTTCCCGACTCTCTCTTTCAGCCTCAAGCCCTCACTGAAAGATGCCACAAGAGCATTCTTCCAGAACCGTCTTCTTCTCCATCTTCTAAACCATTCTATCTCCACTTTCTTCTGCGAAAAGGTCTGTGTTTACAGTTTTCTTAACTTAATTATTTTATGTTTCATTAATTCTGAGTTAAGTTTTGTTAAATTATTCAAATTTATGGTCTCATAATCGCGCAGCAAGGTTTTTTTTTGATCTGGCATTCAGAACATTTAAAATCATAATCTTATTATGTTGCTGCGCCATGTTTTTTTTTTTTTTTTTTTTTTTAGTTTTTCATTTACTATTGTTTGATTTAGGATTTTTTTCTTTTTCACAGAAAATGAGCAGCCGATCGAGCCGTACACTCTACGTGGGGAATCTTCCTGGAGATACTCGAATGAGAGAAGTTGAAGACTTGTTTTACAAGGTTTTTTCTTTTTGTTTTAGTTTGAATTATGATTTGCTTGTTTGATATGGGATGATATTCGGACCCTTTATTTTTCATCGACTAAATTATGTATTAGTCATCATGCTTATGCTTAGGTTGTGAAATAGGCTTTTGCTTTTGTTCAGCCAACCGGGATAAATAATTCTGCTTGGGGAAAATGTTTGTACTTCAATTTTGACTCATTGCATGTTTGTTTTCAGCTTGGTTCTTTTTGTTGATGTGTTGCATAAGTTCTAAACTATTGTTGATTATAAGTAGGAATATTTTATTATGATGCAATATTTGCATTTCGAACCACCTTAAGTGCAGATAGGTAATCAATTTGTATTTTATTGTGAGTTTTTGTATTATTGGCGTCGCCTTTGTTTCTTTTTGTATAAGTAATAATAATGCGAGATGCTGTTGGTGAACCTGTATGATATATGTTTTGGCTTGGTAAGGACTATAAGGAATTTGTATTGACTCTGTGATTGCAGTATGGGCCCATTGTTGATATTGACTTGAAGATCCCTCCCAGACCTCCGGGTTATGCCTTTGTCGAGGTGAGTTAGTAGTTTTCGATTGATATAGAAGTACTTGAATTGTGGAAGGATTTAATAGGTTACATTTTTTCTGGCATTTTTCAATTTGCTTTATCATCTGAATTTCAGTTTGAGGATTACCGTGATGCTGAAGATGCAATTCGTGGTCGGGATGGCTATAATTTTGATGGATACAGATTGCGGGTGAGCAGCTAATCTTCCTTGCTTGTTTACTTCCTCCGGTTTCTATTTGTTTCCCTACTTTATTGAATTGTTGCTTTTATTTTTATCTGATTTGTGTTAGGTTGAACTTGCACATGGGGGGCGAAGACATTCATCATCAGTTGATCGTTACAGCAGTTACAGTGGTAGTGGAGGTAGCCGTGGAGTTTCTAGGCGCACCGACTATCGTGGTATGTGTTGCCTTTGACAGCACTTGTGTTCTCAGAAAGCTACATCCAATTGATGAGTGATCTTATATAATTTTCATGTTACAGTTTTGGTGACTGGATTACCTTCTTCTGCTTCATGGCAAGACCTTAAGGTGAGTGTGATGGATATTTCCAATAACTGTGTGTTGTAATTTGTGTGGATTTAATTAGGAATTGACTATTGCCTTTTTATTTTGAGGATAATTGAGCTTATGGACCTTTTTAATTAATTGAGTATTGCTCATGTCTTCAATGATCAGGATCACATGCGTAGAGCTGGGGATGTCTGTTTCTCTCAAGTGTTTCGTGATCGTGGGGGTAAGTAAATTTCCAGTGTTTAGTTTTGTTTGTGTGGGATGTTTTCTATATGGTACGTCCTTGCTTGGCAGGGTAATGGCATTTGGTATTAGAGGCAATGTAATGGTTCATTTTTTTAATACCAACTACGGATTATAGTAAAGTTGTAGTTGATTTTTGAAGAAGTTAAGATGGATATGTCAGGTAGACTGCAGGGGGTGATTAGAATCTCTTGTTGAATATTTGTGGATTTTTGTGGGTGGAGAGAATATATTACTTATTACAGTTTGGTCAGTGCTATTAAGGTGATTGACCTGATATGGCTTATTATAGAACTCTGATGTAGGTAGATGACTTTTTAAGGCATATAAGAAATTGTTACTTTAAACATATGAGAAATCATTACTTGAAAATTTATGTATCTTTAACGTGGTATATTTGCAGGTATGACTGGAATTGTGGATTACACAACCTATGATGATATGAAATATGCTGTAAGTTAGTTTATTGTACTTCATCGGAAAATCATTATTGGTTTTATGTGGTTGGGGATGGTTGGAAGAATGACTGTGACAACCTCTTTAAGTGTTTCTCGTAATATTTTCTTCTGCTTTGACTTTGTAGATAAAGAAGCTCAATGGATCTGCGTTTCGTAATGCATTTTCTCGGTCTTATGTACGGGTATGCCTCGTTAATTTTTCAGTGCTAAATCCTGAATTCCGGATGCACATCTACATCGCTTGTACTTACCTCTTCATGTTATCTAGGTGAGGGAGTATGATTCAAGGTACTCTAGAAGCCCTAGTCGCAGTCCATATAATTCAAGAAGCCGAAGTCGTAGCCCATATTATTCAAGAAGCAGAAGTCGCAGCCTCAGCTACAGCGATAGGAGCAGGAGGTCTGATTTAGTTTTTTTACAATAAAACTTATAAAGTTGGCTTAGGCAGAATACAAATTGACTGGGTTTGAGCGTATGCAGCATTTCTCCCAGGGCCAAATATTCACGTCGGTCTCCATCTGTATCTCCTGCTAGGTCTAGTTCTTACTCAAGATCACCTGGCCGCTCTTATTCAAGGTATAGTCTTGCTGATTTTTTTTCCTAGGAAAATAAAATATAAAAATGAAATTCTGAGATGCAATAAATAGTTTGTTCATAAATGTAGTTATTTAATGAATTTGTATTTTTTTTTTTTTTTGTGTGTGTGTGTGTGTGTGTGTGTATTCATTAAGTGTTGCATGTGGCTTTTACGTAGCAGCTCCCTTTATAAAAACCGTTTGT